AAAATGAGAAATCAAAGTTCTTTAGAAGATTATGAGCTGATCATACTTGTGTATTTTGTACTGTTATTGCTCACTGACTGATACATTAGAACTGTATAAACTGGAGCTGATATCTGATCCTCAGTCAGGAACAGTAGAATATGTACAGTAATAACATAAAACATCAATACATCACAACAAATGTCACCAAAAACACACAATCATAATTTCTTGCTATTTCTAATAGATAATCTGTCAGCTCTGTTAAATGTATTAGACAATTAAAATTCCTCTGGTGTTTAACATGATTGTCTGTTTCTGAATGTAGTCTCTGTGCTTGTCTGTCCTGTCTCTGTTTGTTGTAAATATAACCTCCCCATCTGTATGTATTGTTACAATATGCCAGCTCAACGTTATATGGCACCTCAACAATCATGGTACTATCCCTGAAAATAATATCGTGGAATATAAGAGGAATCAGCTCCCCTGTCAAAAGAACAAAAGTGTTAAACCATCTCAATAGTTTAAAATCTGAATATGTTTTATTCAGGAAACCCACCTTACAGAGGCAGAGTCTCGGAAATTAACGGTTAAATTAAGTGGCCAGGCTTATCACTCTGTATATAATTCAAAAAAACGTGGCAGTTCCATCTTGATCAGGAAGAACATACCATTCATAAGTACCTCTATACTGACCGACCCAGAGGGCTGTTACATTATTATTAATGGCACTATTGGGAAAGATAACTTAACTTTAGTAAATATTTATGGACCAAACACAGATTCTCCTGCTTTCTTTCATTCACTCTTCTCAGAAATATCTAAATTCTCTGACTCATTTTTTATAATTGGTGGTGACTTCAATACAGTTCTGAACCCATGCATAGATCTTTCCTCTTCAGCACAATGTAACATAAATAATCATTCAGTAACGTTGCTTAAACAATACATGTCAGATTATGGTCTGGTGGATATCTGGAGATTGCAGAACCCCAGTAGTAAAGAATATTCATATTTCTCCCCTTACCACAAGTCAACTCCTGTATAGACTTCTTTTTGTCTAACAATTCTATCACACATAGTATAATTCATTCAGATATTAATAGTGTTATTATATCTGATCATGCCCCAATTAGTATCTCCTTTCTAGCAGACTATCAATCCCTCCTCCACCCAGATGGCGCTTTAACACTACTTTACTCAATGATAAAGAATTTCTAGATTATTTTAACCAGGAATGGGCAGCCTTTGTTGAAATTAACGAACATCCTGACATTACAGCTTGCACACTTTGGGAAACAGCAAAAGTTGTGATGAAAGGAAAAATCATTCCATACTGTTCTAAAAAGAAGAAGGAAGACTTAGTAAAAGAACAAAAGCTGCAGGGTGAGGTGAAGAGATTGGACCTTCTGGCCTCTCAGACACCTACTGATCCAATTATTAAAGAACTAATGAAAACTAAATACGAACTTAATAATATACTACAAAAGAAGACCGAACAGGCTATGCTTAAACTTAGACAACAGCAATTTGAATTTGGAAATAAAACTGGAAAAATTTTAGCAAATCAATTAAAACAGGAAACCGAGAAATCAATAATAACAGCAATCTCAGATCCCTCTGGTAGGATCATTCAGGACCCCCTAGCTATCAATGATGTATTTAGGTCCTTTTACTCCAATCTCTATACTTCTGATAAGAAAGCCTCAATGGAAGAAATTGAAGCATTCCTGAGCAGCGTCTCCCTACCTACATTATCTACATCTGTATCAGAATCTATAGACAGACCTCTTTCCTCTGAAGAAATCACCAAAGCCCTCTTTCTAATGCCTAATCATAAATCACCAGGACCGGATGGCTACCCAGCAGAATTTTACAAACAATTCTGGCCTCTTATTTCACCACTGTTTTTAAAAGTGATCTCAGAAATGTTTGAAAATACATCTATACCCTATCATATGAATACTGCTCTTATCACACTTATCTTAAAACCAAATAAAAAATCCACAGATTGCTCCAGCTACTGTCCCATTTCACTGATCAATTCAGACATAAAAATCATAAGTAAAGCTTTATCAATCAGATTGGAATCGGTCATACCCACTCTCATAAACACAGATCAAACTGGGTTCATCAAAGGGAGACAGTCTTCAGAGAACACACGCAGGTTATTCAATCTAATTCATATGTATAACAGTGAAAAATCTCCGTATATATCACCATGTATAATAGCATCTCTGAATGCTGAAAAGGCGTTTGATAGGGTGGAGTGGTCCTTTCTCTTTGCTTCTCTTAAACACTTTGGATTTGGCCCATACTTTATCAGCTGGATAAAAACATTATACAACTCACCTTCTGCCTCAGTCTCAACAAACAGACATATATCCAGACCCTTTCAGCTACAAAGAGGAAGTCGACAAGGATGTGCTTTATCACCTTTATTGTTTTGTCTTTTTATTGAACCCTTGGCTGCTTCTATCAGACAGTGCAATAAAATCTCAGGTATATAGTCAAAGTCATACCACCATAAAATCAGTCTATACGCAGATGATGTTTTACTGTATATTACTAACCCTTCACTATCCCTTCCATCAGTTCATGATCTGATAAATAAGTATAGTGGGGTGTCTGGTTATTCCATTAATTGGTCCAAATCTGAGTTTCTGCCTCTAAGTAAATTCAACTGGGATGACAAGGTCTATGATATACCATCTGAACATATCACACAGTCGATTAAATATCTTGGTATTCATATCTCTTCTAACATAAATGATTTGTATAAACTTAATTACATACCTTTAATGCAAGAAATAAAGGATAATCTAGAAAGGTGGAATAAATTACCATTAACTCTAATTGGCCGGATATCAGCAGTTAAAATGAATATCCTCCCTAAAATCAATTATCTGTTTTCTATGACCCCTGTTACCCCACCGTCAGGCTGGTTCTCCTCTCTTGACAATGCAGTGACTAAGTTCTATTGGAAGCACCAAAAGCCTCAAATCAAGTTAGCTACCCTTCAGAAACCTAAACATCTTGGAGGACTTGGAGCCCCAAATTTCTACTACTACTTTCTATCACATTAATTTGTTTTACATTAGACATTGGACAACTAGCTCAAACCAACCCTGGCAAGACATTGAGGAAAGTTTAATTCAAGAACTTGACATTAATAGTATTCCATTCATAGACAAAGCTATAAAAAAAAAACAAAATTTGATAAATACAGTACTATAAGTACCACCCTGAATGCATGGTGGAATTCAAACAGAATTCTTAAATACAGCTACTCTCCCTCCAGTCAAACTCCTCTGTGGAACAACCCCATGTTTTTAATAAATAACAAACCTTTCAGAGAGGAATAACCAGCCTGGCACAGTTGTTCTCTGGTGGCTTGCTCATGACCTTTGATGACGTCAAAGAAAAATATAATATACCAGATAATTGTCAGTATATACAACTCAAAGATGTTCTAAAGAAAACAGTTGATAGTGGAAATCTCTGCAATCACACTCTACTTAAAACTACACTCCCTTAAACCTCAGAAAATGTTATCACAAATATATAAACTTATAGCCTCAAAGGACAACACTATCTCACTCCCAACTGAAAAATGGACCTCAGATATAAAAGAAACATGTAATGTCAACTGGCAAAATATATGCTGTGATATCTTCTCTATGTCCAGCAATTCAAAACTCCAGCTAATTCAATATAAAACCCTTCACAGAACATATATCACAGCCTCTAAACTACACCGTATGGGATTCAGTCACATTGATAAATGCCAACATTGTCCAGCTTTAACAGACAACTACTATCATGCTTTCTGGAATTGCCCCCCGACCCAGCAGTTTTGGTCAGAGGTCATGGACAGGCTATCAGAGATTTTGGGCCTTGTCATCCCTTTATGTCCCGTTATAGCACTACTTAATGACCTTTCCTCACTTTCAGCACCCAATCACCTCAAATGCTTTATATTCATATCACTTACCATTGCCAAAAAAGTTATACTGCTAAACTGGAAGGACAGAACCAAAATTTCAATAAAGCATTGGCTTAACCTCCTCATGGATCACTGCAACTTGGAAAGACTCACAGCAAATTTTAAAAATTACACAAAATCATTCAGGGAAACCTGGTCACAATTTTTACAATATATTGAGTGCTGATTTTTCTCTCCAAACTCATCAGGGGAAGGTTAAACCCCTACATAGGATTTGATAACTTATAATTACATAAAAAGCATTACTGCCTTGTTTATTGTTTTGTTAAGTGTCTGTGTTTGTCTGTCCTGTATGTCCAGTTTGTCATTATTATTATTATCATTTATTATTATTATTATTTTCTCCTCCTTTCTCTTTACTTCTTCTTTAATTGTATGGTGCCACATCACCTTATATCTATATGATCATTAATAAATTATGAGTTGTGACATTAATAGCGAAGTGAAAAGAAAGAAAGATATATATATATATATATATATATATATAATCATATGTCCCCTGGAAAAGGGGGGGTGGTGGTGTGGCCAAGGAATGTTGGCCCGGGAATTTAAAAAAAAAATAACATGATTAATATTTCAAATTAAATTATTAAGTAAATATAATAAAAACAATAAAATGTACAAAAAAAAATCAGATGTATGAGACAAATACTTAAAAGACAGTCAACTAGAGATTATAAACAGATCCTGCACTGACTTCATTCAGCCTCCAGGGGGCAGTCAAACCTTCTGATCATATATCTGATGTCTGATCACATGTCTGACTACAAATTCTGTGATGTTGAGGTCTTTAACCTCTGGATTCAAGGTGACATTAACCTTTTGTAATCCCTCTTTACTACCAAATACAATTACTGTTGTCTTTCCTTGCTTAGCTGAAGGAAGTATTATATCATATATATATATATATATATATATATATAATTTTATTGGGATAGTTAGTAAATCTGGGTGTCGTCAGTGTAACTATGATAATCATCAGCTCTGTCTGTTCAAATCAATGTGAACTCTTGTTTCTCTTACTGACAGACACTATTACACAGTTCTGTGGTGTCTGTATCAGTGTACTCAGTGTGTCATGCTGGTTTTGCTGGTGAGCGGCCCTGGTGGTCTACGCTGGTTTTTCTAGCAAGGAACCCCCCTTCATTTAGAGGATAATGGTTTCAGTATGACTCTACTCTAAAGTCCAGGACAGACTGAACTGTGAGAGACATTAAAGCTTGATGTTTTAATGATTTTAGGGATCGTGTTATAAACATGTCATCATCTGTAAACTAACACCATTATACAATTTATTTATTTTTTTTTAGATCTGATTCTTGGAGTTTGCAGCACTTTTAATCTCTGACTCCCCCACCCTGTTTCTCTTCTCCCTTAAAAAATGTATAAGCAAAAAGGTCAAATGTAATTAAAAGAGTGACAGTTATGAATTCAATACAAATATGCTGTTATTCACTCACAGGCTGGTGACCATTTAGCTAAATGTTCCCTTACAGATCCAAACAAACTGCTGATATTCCTGATATTCACTGATATTCATTCTAAAACTCTGTCAGTTAAAAATATCTTTTCTCACAAATCCATACAAACCAGTCATTACAGGGAAAATCAGCCCAGTTATTTACAGGATTAGGCTTGTAACCAGTTACAACACAGTCCTCATCTCCTGCTGCACTGTTGGGTTCATCATGTCCCCAGAACCTGAAACAGAGAATCAGAGAATCCACTGTGTTTATCAGAGCAGTGAGGAGTGACAGTCATTAACTGCAACATCACCAGAGTTCAGTTCAGTGATCTCTTACTTAGTGGTCAGCGCTGAGCCGTCCACCCATTTCCAGGTCCCTTCTTTCTCACTGTCAGTCAGACCAATCCAAGCTGTCTGACCTTGTCTCAACTTTTCAATAAAGTCCTGTTAACAACCAGATGTACATTCTCAGAAACAGAGAGGAAAAAATAATTTACTGCACACATATATGTGCTTGTATGGCCTGATATAAATAACCATCCCATCTCTCTCTCTCTCTCTCTCTCTCTCTCTCTCTCTCTCTCTCTCTGTCTCTCTCTCTCTCTCTCTCACCTGTTCTTCTCTGCTGTTTATGGTCACCAGGTCTGCTCCTCTCTCTCTGCAGTCCTGTCTGCTCTTACTCCAGATCTTCCCTCCAATAGAGATGAAGTACATACTGGTGTTGAAAAATGTCCAGTCTTGCTGCTTTGTCTTCTCTATGAATTGAACACAAACACAGAGATTTATTCTACACTTTAATACCACAGTTCATTTCTTCTTTCACGCCAGTCAGTCAGATTATTGGATCCTTGGTAATTATTCCTCACATTAAAAAGAAATTACTGTACTAGTATTTATTTTGCATCATGGGTTACACTGATATGGGAATTGAGGGATGATGCCGGTCTGATGTTTTTAGCGTATGTATTTACTGATACTGTGCCAATTCATACACATTTATAAACTGTAGAAATCAGGGCCAGAAAATAGTTCAGCTACAAGAACACATTCAGATTCAGCTTCCTGTCACTCCAGCAACTGAGACATGTTTTTATTATCTACACTTGTGTCAGCAGAGCACCAGTTAGTTAGAATCTAATCTGGACTGTGGTTTGTGGCACTTTTTGCTTAAAAAAAAAACAAACATCTGCTGGTGGTTAACTGCTTAGAGAAGCTGAAACCTGAGGTGGAGCAACTGGTAAACTGCTATAACCATGAATCAGAAGAAGCCTAAAGTATGGCAGCATTTCACACTTTTGAAGGACAACCCTAACGAAGTTAATGTATGCAAGAATTCGCTTATCATTCAACAACATCAAACAGGGCAAACCACTTGAAACGAGTGAGTTACATAACTAGGGGGACATTCTGTGATTATCTGTGCAGATTTACTACACATATAATGCAGGCAGTAAGTCTATTTACAAGGCAGGGAATGGACAAAGGCCTCATACGCCAGCCTGATCACATCAAATAGCCACAAATTAGAGTGACTGTACATATAAAGTAAGTTTATAAGTTTGTAAGTTTCTTGCTTAGAGAGCAGCAAACACTGTCTCGACTCAGACAGGCTTTGTATACTGACTTATTTGTGAAGTATCGTCTCACTATGATCATACCGAGTCTGTTTACCTACTCCGTGTATGACCCGTTTTCCCGTCCTGACCTTGTTTTTTGCCTTGACCTTCTGTTTTGTTGTGGATCTCTAGTTTTTGACTTCTTGTTCTGGTTTTTCAACTGTGATTTTGGATCTCTTTGTAATGAAAGATCTTAACTCCTCCTCGTCTGCGAGCGTCTGGTTCTGTCTGCCGTTGTTACAAAATGTCAAAGTGTTTTTATGTTTAAATTTATATTTCCCCCTCATATGTGCAATTTTGTTCTCAAAATCAAAATTCAAGTTCAGTTTTATCATTTTAATCTGCCATTTAGTGAACTACTACTGACATTTCATTACACAGAGATTCAGATGTTTGATGAGTAGCTTTAGTTCAATTAAAAGGCATTTCCATAACTACATATTCATGCCTTACAATAATGGTGTATTACTGAGTGGTTTCTAGAGTATAATGATGGTTTGTTGAGTAGTTTTCACTCTCTAATAATGTTTTTGAGATTGCATTATCAAAGAGAACAAGCTAGATAGATGGCAAAATTCAGATGTAAAAGGGAAACAGTGCTTGTCCTCTTTGCCGTTACGTAGTCTTGTCTACTGCGCTCATTCTGTGGCAAAATCTTTTCGAAAGTGCATTCAACCTGATTACATTTTCATTTTTCCAGGCTTCCCAACCTGTCAATCATCTCTTCAGGGTGGGGCCAACAGCAGCTCAGTGGAAAATTCTTCTTCTGGACCGGCGACTGATCTTCTAACATAAGATGAAGTAAAAAGCAGTATTTCCACTTGTGATGATCACTATGTTATAAATGACCCAGCAAGATTCTTTAATCGAATTGTATGGCAGATTTTTCTGATTTAATAAGTGGGTCTAAATGATTGTCCGTGTTAGCTGACCGTAGGCTACAGATTAATCCAGGATAGAGGGCTATTATCTAATGTACATAGTGCGATCTAGTTATATTGCTTGTTCCACTTTATCTGTTACCAAAATATGTACTATGTATATGTATGAAATGATTTAGTTGCTCTTGTAGTGTTACGCATAGACTAGGTGGTTGTGTGATTGTCTATGTGTAACAGCACAGGTACAACTAAATCATTGTGATCAAAATAAATTTATGTTTAACAATAATATTTCATGCATAGTTTGCACTTTCAAAAGGTCAGTCGATGGCCTTCATGGGAAGTGAACTCACTACACAAGAGCTGGTGAAAGCTCGTTTTACCAGATAAGCTACGGGACAATATAAGTAACATTAACCATTGTTCATTAACCATTAGCTGTGCTAATGAAACCTATAGTGGTTTCATTATAAGCCACTACTAACACGAATACAACACAGACGGATTCAGAACAGCTTGTTATAAGAACAATGTTGTCTAACTGAGAGAACCGATAGATGTGTTCTCTTTAGCAAACTAACATAAAACTGGTCCAACTCAGTACAGTTTTATTTTACATTTGAAAATATTAGTAGTGTATAAAATTCACTAACCCAGTTCAGAAAGCTTCCTCTGGAGTTTGTCTCTCTCTTTCTGTAACTGATCTCTTTCTGTCGTCAGGCTGGTGTAACTCTCTTTAGTTTGGTTGTTACAGATGGTCTGTTCCAGGTCAGCCACTGAAAGTAATAGAGAACTGTTACTGAATTAATTGAGCCAAAATCTTCATATGTGCACGTGCTGTCAAAAAGAATTGCTCAGACAATTTTCGACGTACTGATTACTGACAATCATCAGGGAATGAATGGAAATGGGCAAATGAGAGTGTCTGGATAAAAAATAGTCTTTTACAAATGCAGGTCTGAACCCAGCCAATAAACAGAAACTGTTCACTACAATTTGAAGATAAAGGCCACATTGTCATTTATAACTCATTAGTTACTTATTAGTTACTTACTAGTAAGTGAAACTTATTATTAGTGCCTAACAGTGACAGTGAGGATGAAAACAAGAATACATCAGTGTGTTCTAGTTCATAAAGTGTTTTAAAGTATAAAGCTGAACTTACAGTACAGTCTCAGAGCAATATTGAGAGCTGCCTGAAGGATACACATCACACCGAGACATAGTACAGCCAGCCTGAACACTCCTAAACATCAAACACACACAAATACACCTTTAACAGACTAGTGAGGTGAATGAAAGTGTCCATTCTTTTCTGATATGGCTCTTTGTCTGTGGACATGTGGGTCAGTATGTGAGCACTTACCTCTGTGTTGACTCTCTCCACATGACTGAGAGGTTTTGTCCACTTTTTCTGTGTTCTGGTACTGAAGAGGTTCATTCTGAATGTCCATTTCCATATGAGTGACTATAATATGCTGGAACACTGCAGCACTTTAACCTTACAGGATCATAAATGTGAATCAGATTGACTGACACTGCAGACAGGAAGTGTCTCTGTCGCATGTAGCTTCTCTATTGGTGAGAGATTGGGTTAGATATGTTGATGTTAAAGATAAAAAAGAGAAATGAGAAAATTCCCCTCACACATAAGGTGAGAACTTTAAATTAAACTATGTTAACTGACTAAAAACACTTAATATGAGTAATGATGTCTAGAAATATTAACAGTGTCCTCAAAATGGGGGTTTTGGGTTAAATTGGGCAAATAGCCTTAAGCCTCAGCTTACCTGAATTCAAATTAAATATTTATACATTTTAATGAATATAATAATTATATTCACTTAAATATAATTAAGTAAAATAATTTATGCATGTTATACTGCTTTTACATTGCAGATCAAAGAAGAGCAGCCAAACAAGTGTCAGATTCTATTCAGTATTCATTAAGTACGACTCTTTGTATCTACACTCTTTGTCCGTTTTATAAGTTCCACTTACCATCTAGGTGCACTTTGTAGTTCTACAATCACAGACTGTAGTCCTTCTGTTTCTCTGCATACTTTCTTATCCCTCTTTCAGCCTCTTTCACTCTTTTCACAAAAAAAATGCTGAAGTGAAATCTTTGTCCTCCATCTTCAGCAGTTTTGTTTTACACTTAAATGTGTCATTACTGAATGTAGTCTGAGTGCAGCACTTTAGCGTGCTATTAAAAGAGACATTCTTTAAAATTCCTGCATGATTAAGAGGTTAAAGACAGTCTAAAAGCTAAAAGCTTCCTTATATAAAGTAATTTCATGAAATGGTTATAGAGCACAGTGGCTGATGTCTGAGACATTGTTTCATGATGGTTTTGAGACAAGCTTTGTTATGTACCAAAGCAGAAAATGCAGGGCGTTGTAAAAAAAAAAAAAATCTTTGGGGATGATTTTGTCTTACCACGCCCTGCGTTTTCTGCACTGTAGAGAAACTGACTCAGGCAGGTGACAGGAAAAATCACCAGTGAAACTACATGTGTCCTGGTCAATTTCCTTTCACTTGCCTGAGTCAGTTTCTCTACAGTGCACCATTTCACATAAAAAACCCCTGAATGACTTTTTACATCTCAATGACTGAATTTTGCAAATATTAAAAAATTGGTGGAATATCCCTTTAAGCAGGTATAGCATGGGAGTGTGTGCTTTGCTGAACCAACACCACAACCATGTGATGTTAATCAGCACATACAGAAACCACGTGACTTTCAGACACACCACACAGACTCTTCTGTATCTGTCACGATCTCACTTCTTTAGAAGGCATCGAAGGTCCATTTTTAAAAACACTCTAAAACAGAGGAGAGTATGTGCAGTTCTGACTGTCATCTACTTCAGTTTTCCAGGTGACACTGACTGAACAATGTCTCTTCTTACCATCTTTCTACAGCTTTCACCCAGAAACATGGTTTGTGAGTCCAGGCCTCCAGCTGTGGGGGTCGTATGAGGGCAGACTAACTGAGGTAGAGAACTCTGAGAACTCAGACTGGATGCATTTAAGAAAGAGAACAGAACCGGAGATGAATGAGGATCTGTATGCAAACACAGCAGAGAAGAGATCAACTGATTCAAACAACAGCAGGAGCTCTTATGAAGAAATCTATGCCAATGAAGCTGTTCTGGACACTCCACTGACCAGAAGCCATAGAGGAACTATGACCTCAGGTACTGTTTATTTGTTTGTTAATAGCCCTGGCCTACATAAATAAATATACAGTGGCGTGAAAAAGTGTTTGCCCCCTTCCTGATTTCCTATTCTTTTGCATGTTTGTCACACTTAAATGTTTCAGATCACCAAACAAATTTAAATATTAGACAAAGATAACACAAGTAAACACAAAATGCAGTTTATAAATGAAGGTCTTTATTATTAAGGGAAAAAGAAGTCCAAACCTACAGGTCCCTGTGTGAAAAAGTGATTACCCCCTAAACCTAATAACTGGTTGGGCCACCCTTAGCAGCAACAACTGCAATCAAGCATTTGCGATAACTGGCAGTGAGTCTTTTACACCGCTGTGGAGGAATTTTGGCCACTCATCTTTGCAGAATTGTTGTAATTCAGCCACATTGGGGGGTTTCCGAGCATGGACCGCCTTTTTAAGGTCATGCCACAGCATCTCAGTCGGATTCAGGTCAGTGACTAGGCCACTCCAAAGTCCTAATTTTGCTTTTCTTAAGCCATTCAGAGCTGGGCCTGCTGGTGTGTTTTGGATCATTCCTGCTGCAGAACCCAAGTGCGCTTCAGCTTGAGGTCACGAACAAATGGCCGGACATTCTCCTTCAGGATTTTTTGGTAGACAGCAGAATTCATGGTTCCATTTACCACAGCAAGTCTTCCAGGTCCTGAAGCAGCAAAACAGCCCCAGACCATCACACTGCCACCACCATATTTTACTGTTGGTATGATGTTCCTTTTCTGAAATGCTGTGTTACTTCTACGCCAGATGTAATGGGACATACACCTTCCAAAAAGTTCAACTTTTGTCTCGTCAGTCCGCAGAGTATTCTCCCAAAAGTCTTGGGGATCATCAAGATGTTTTCTGGCAAAACTGAGACGAGCCTTTATGTTCTTTTCGCTCAGCAGTGGTTTTCGTCTTGGAACTCTGCCATGCAGGCCATTTTTGCCCAGTCTCTTTCTTGTGGTGGAGTCATGAACACTGACCTTAACTGAGAACAGGTGTGGCAGTAATCAGGCCTGGGTGTCCCTTAATAATAAAGACCTTCATTTATAAACTGCATTTTGTGTTTACTTGTGTTATCTTTGTCTAATATTTAAATTTGTTTGGTGATCTGAAACATTTAAGTGTGACAAACATGCAAAAGAATAGGAAATCAGGAAGGGAGCAAACACTTTTTCACACCATTGTATGTCTTACATGTTTACAGAAATGTACATATTGGAATCATTTTTGGGAGAAACAGTAATATTTGATTGTCAGTTAAACCTGTTGCTGGTATATTATACAGTTTTATATATATATATTTATATATATATATATATATATATATATATATATATATATATAATATAAAATGTGTATAACTGATTATTGTTGAATCTGCTTTGAGATGGTGTTTGGTGCCCTCTTGTGGATAATGATGATGCGACACCCAAATTCAGCCTGTTTAACATGAGAAATCAAGGTTCTTTATAAATTATGAGCTGATCATACTTGTGTATTTTGTACTGTTATTGCTCACTGACTGATACATTAGAACTGTATAAACTGGAACTGATATCTGATCCTCAGTCAGGAACAGTAGAATATTTACAGTAATAACATAAAACATCACAACAAATGTCACCAAAAACACACAATCATAATTTCTTGCTATTTCTATTAAATAAGCTGTCAGCTCTATTAAATGTAACAGACAATTAAATTCTTATACAGCTACATGTTTAACATTCCAAATAAAATTATTAAGTAAAGATAATAAAAACAATAAAATGTACAAAAAATCAGATGTATGAGACGAAAACTTAAAAGACCATCAACTACATTTTATAAACAGTCCTGCACTGACTTCATTCAGCCTACAGGGGGCAATCAAACTTTCTGATCACACATCTGACGTCTGATCACATGTCTGACTACAAACAGTCAGAAATTATACATTAAACAGAAAATTACACAGAAGCCTCAACAACTTCATATAGTATCAGCCTTTTCAGCATATAATGTAGCCACACTTCACAGCTTCCTTTTCAGGAGACTTGCTTTGTTTTTCCAAGAAATCTGCAGGAATATTTTTCCACACCTCCACAGTTCAGTCTTAGAAGTCGGTTAAATTTTCTGCTTCTCACAATCAAATAAATCCCAAACACATTCAGTGATGTTGAGGTCTTTAACCTCTGGATTCAAGGTGAGCACTAACCTTTTGTAATCCCCCTTTACTACCAAATACAATTACTCTTGTCTTTCTTTGTTTAGCTGAGGGAAGTTATATATATTTATTTATTTTATTTTATATATTTACATATATTTTATTTGCTCTAAGCACTGACACAGAGTGTCTATGGGACTGTAGTCATTTGGTGAGAGAGTTAGTAAATCTGGGTGTTGTCAGTGTAACTATGATCATCATCAGATCTCTCTCTTCTAATTAATGTCAACCCTTGTTTCTCTTACTGACAGACACTATTACACAGTTCTGTGGTGTCTGTATCAGTGTACTCAGCATGTCATGCTGGTTTTGCTGGTGAGTGGCCCTGGAAGTCTACGCTGGTTTTTCTAGCAGTGAACCCCCTTCAATTAGAGGATAAAGGTTTCAGTATGACTCTATTCCAATTTGAACTGTGAGAAACATTAAAGCTTGATGTTTTAAAGCTTTTAGGGATCGTGTTATAAACATGCTGTCATCTTTGAACTAACACCATTATACAACTAATTTTTTTTTAGATCTGATTCTTGGAGTTTGCAGCATTTCTAATCTCTGGCTCCCTCACCCTGTTTCTCTTCCACCGTAATAAAATAATAAGCAAAAAGGTCAAATGTAAATAAAAGAGTGAGAGTTATGAATTCAGTACAAATATGCTGTTATTCACTCACATGCTGGTGACCATTTAGATAAATATTCCCTTACAGATGCAAACAAACTGCTGATATTCACTGATATTCACTGATATTCATTCTAAAACTCTATCAGTTTAAAATACTTTTCTCACAAATCCACTCAAACCAGTTATTACAGGGAAAATCAGCCCAGTTATTTACAGGATCAGACTTGTAACCAGTTACAACACAGTCCTCATCTCCAAAATTACTGTTGGGTTCATCACTTCCCCAGAACCTGAAAGAGAGAATCAGAGAACCCACTGTGTTTATCAGAGCAGTGAGGAGTGACAGTTATTAACTGTACCATCACCAGTTCAGTTCAGTGATCTCTTACTTAGTGGTCAGCATGGAGCCGTCCACCCATTTCCAGGTCCCCTCTGTCTCACTGTCAGTCAGACCAAT